CGCGCATACGCCGCTCGGCGGCGCGCTTTTCTACCCGGATTGACAACACGGTTTCGTACGGGCGGTCGCACACGAGAAGGCGTTGGAGGGAACACACTCGATACCCACGGGCCCAGGTCCTCGACACTCCGCTGGCCATCCAGAATTCCTGATCAGATCTGGATCAGGATATGGGACTTTCATCCCTGGATGGCTTCCACAACCGGGATAAGCGCGCGTATAGCACTGGCAAAACTGCCGTACGCATCACCCCAGCCGGGAGAAGATGGAGAAAGCGGAGGCGTGCCGGGTGACCCGTGGGGAGAGATGGCGACGGATCAAGGGGAGGCGGGAGGACTGGAGCCACCGGCCGAGAGAAACGAGCTCTCGCTCGATGATGCGGCTGCCAGATCCTCCAGTGCCGCCGCGACGAGGCGCTGGTAACCGCCGTTCTTACGCATCCCCTTGATGGCATCAAGGGTGCGATTCGGAACGACGGTTAACAGATGTTGATTCATAAACCTAACGCCTCGATTCGCGGCAAGCGCCTCCTCCCTCGTCATCATGCGCTTCTCTTCGTCGCTCCATTGGCGGTTAACCCTCTCGACGTTAACCTCCTCGTTGACGATGGCCTCGTGTGCACATCGGCGATGGAGGCCGAGTCCGGTCTTCGTGGTGAACGCACGATCACAGTGTGGGCATGGGAATTGCGGGGCTTGCGGGGAGCAGGGACAGGGGCAGCGGGTGTTGGGCGGCGTCGTGGCCTAGCGGGCGGCCGACGAGAAGAGCCTGGAGAGGGGTCAGAAGAGGGTGGCGAAGGGACGACAGGACCGGCGGCCCGAGGCTGCCGCCGGAGATTATATTTTTCTCTTCTTGTGGTGCCTGCCGTAAACAGACCCGAAGGGCTGGCAACCCCACGGACCCGGACGGAGCGTTGCCGCTCCGCCAAGCCAGAGCCCCGTTGGCCGCCGGGAGGTTGGTTCCGACGTTGCCCGACTCTCACCGCGAGGAGGTGGGGTTGGCGCATGGAAACCACCAAAATCGGCGGCTCCCTTAAGAGAGTCATAGTTACTCCCGCCGTTTACCCGCGCTTGCTTGAATTTCTTCACGTTAACATTCAGAGCACTGGGCAGAAATCACATTGCGTCAACACCCGCGAGGGCCATCGCAATGCTTTGTTTTAATTAGACAGTCGGATTCCCCTAGTCCGTGCCAGTTCTGAGCTGAGCGTTGAATGGCGGCCGAAGAGGACGACCACGACGGCTTGCGCCGCCACGGAAGCCTCGCAGCAAGGAAGATCCGCGGGAGGCCAAGGCACGGGACCGAGCTCGGATCCCGGGACCGGCGCGAGAACGCCGACCGTTCACCTCGCCCAGGCCCGGCACGTCAGCCCCGCTTCTCAGAGCCAATCCTTATTCCGAAGTTACGGATCCAATTTGCCGACTTCCCTTACCTACATTATTCTATCGACTAGAGGCTCTTTACCTTGGAGACCTGCTGCGGATATGGGTACGAACCGGCGCGACACCTCCACGTGGCCCTCTCCTGGATTTTCAAGGTCCGAGGGGAAGATCTGGACACCGCCGTCATTGACATAGGATTTCTCCTAGGCTTAGGATCGACTGACTCGTGTGCAACGGCTGTTCACACGAAACCCTTCTCCACGTCAGTCCTTTAGGGCCTCGCTGGAGTATTTGCTACTACCACCAAGATCTGCACCGACGGCGGCTCCAGGCAAGCTCGCGCCCAGACTTTTCTGCGCTCACCGTCGCGACCCTCCTACTCGTCAGGGCTTCGTGACGACGCGAGAGAAGACTAACGCCCGCTCCCGGTTGCCGCCCCACTTGCCACTGACGGCAGAGTATAGGCTCGACGCTTCAGCGCCATCCATTTTCAAGGCTAGTTGCTTCGGCAGGTGAGTTTTACACACTCCTTAGCGGATTCCGACTTCCATGGCCACCGTTCTGCTGTCTTAAGCAACCAACGCCTTTCATGGTGTCCCATGAGCGTCGAGTTGGGCGCCTTAACTCTGCGTTTGGTTCATCCCACAGCGCCAGTTCTGCTTACCAAAAATGGCCCACTTGGCACTCTGATTCGAAGATGCTCGTGGCTTCATAATTCAAGAAAGCCAGAGATCTCACCCATTTAAAGTTTGAGAATAGGTTGAGGTCGTTTTGGCCCCAAGGCCTCTAATCATTCGCTTTACCAGATGAGACTCGCGCGCGTTCCGTGCGGAACGGCCGAGTGCCAGCTATCCTAAGGGAAACTTCGGAGGGAACCAGCTACTAGATGGTTCAATTAGTCTTTCGCCCCTATACCCAGTTCCGACGATCGATTTGCACGGACTCCGCGGGACATCGCCGACCGACGCGAAGCCAGCGCCGCTGACGATGAATCTCCCCGTTCGATCTTTTGGGTTTCTTAGGTTTACCCCTGAACGGTTTCACGTACTCTTGAACTCTCTTTTCAAAGTTCTTTTCAACTTTCCCTCACGGTACTTGTTCGCTATCGGTCTCGTGGTCGTATTTAGCCTTAGATGGAGTTTACCACCCACTTAGAGCTGCACTCTCAAGCAACCCGATTCTAAGGAGAGATCCTCCCGAGGCGCGCACCGGTCGCTACGGGCCTGGCACCCTCTACGGGTAAGTGGCCCCATTCAAGATGGACTTGGACGCGACGCGGCACCTCGGGATAAGCGGATCCTTTCAAACACCACATTTCCCTGCGGCGGAACCGCGGGATTCGGTGCTGGGCTCTTTCCTGTTCGCTCGCCGCTACTAAGGAAATCCTGGTCAGTTTCTTTTCCTCCGCTTAATAATATGCTTAAATTCAGCGGGTAATCTCGCCTGCTCTGAGGTCGTCGCATAGTGAGTTTTCGTAGCCGTTTGCCTCCTCCGCGTCGCTCATCGTCGTCTCTTCTCTATATATATATAAGAGGGAGAGAGAGAGAGCGTCGACGAGAGAGCAGCAGCGGCAGCACACGAAATACGCGAGAAGGCAAATCGCCGGGGCGCTAAAGGCACACACACTCGTGAATGGCACCGCCTAGAAGCGTCGTGCGCTCACCGTCTCTCTCTCGTTGGTGGTAATGGAGACGATATATCGCGGGGTTCGAGATTCTCGGCTCTCCCTTCTCTTTTATATACAAAATTCGGGCGGAATCGATTCGACGAGTACACGACGCGGCGCGCCGGTCCCCTTTTTTTGCTTTACGAAAATTTCGTGGACTCGGACACGCGGTCGGCTCGCGATTCAAAACCCTTCTCCGTAAAGAGGTAAAGGATTACGAATGCTCTCTCCGCCGGACGACGACGCGCCGTATATTTCTCCGTAATACCGTTATGTGTGCGGGCAAGGGCGCCTCGGCATAAGACGCGCGAGCGCTATCGCACCGAGAGACGCGGCACAGAGTGCGAGAGCAGTCGGTCAGTCTGTGTGATGTACGGAGAGGAGAGACGGTGAGACAAGCGCTACCTACTTTCGGGAGACAACGACGCACGCGCCGCTCTAGGGAAAGCGGTGCCATTCACCGCCCTGACCCTTTTTTTGGCCGTTTGTTGCTCCCTTCGCGCGCGCTCTTACTCTCATCCCATTTCTCCTCGGCTCTCGCGTACACACACGACTTGGATACACAAACACGCTCCCCCTCTTAATTCGCGCAGCATTCTCTGGGCGCGCGTTCGCCAACGTTTTACACGCTTGTGCGCTTCTTTCTCATTATTATTTCGGTGTGTCATTTCAGACGACGCAAGGATTTGCGCCGCGGCTGGTCGGCGCGGCACAGACACCTCGGGCGAACGTCCAACGATCGCTCGTACGCCCATTGTAAGCGTTGCACAGAGCACAGGCGACGCGCGCGCCATTCTCTGGTCGCCCGCGTCGTGGCCGTGCGCGCTTTTCGGGCGCAAGCAGTTTAGGGGTACTAAAACGACTCTCAGCCAGGCGTGGTCCGGGAATTGTATCCGTGGACCGCAATGTGCGTTCGAAATGTCGATGTTCATGTGTCCTGCAGTTCACAAGTTGTGCGAGAACCTTCGATTTGTTTTAATTTTCCGCGCAGAGGCAAATTTATTTATTTATAAGTCGGCTCGTAGATACGAAGGAGACTGGATGCGGAGAAAATTGTAAAGGTGGAGAAATTCACTTTTGAGGCAAAGCAGTTTTATTCAAAACTCTCGCAGACAAGATTAAAACGCGGAAGTTCGCTCTAGAACGAGATAAATTCGCGCGATGCTCTTTTCGCTGATATACACGGAGACGTCTCTTCAGTTCAGACTCCTCGAGTAGACTCATTTTTGATCCTCGCGGAATTCGGCAGCTAAGGCGATCATCCGATCGACGCGTGGCACACGTGCTGAAATCCTATTCGCGGACGATTGCCCCATCACGCTCCGAAACGCGAGACAAAGGCGAGTTTTTGTAGATTCCTCGCTCGCGGAATCGAAAACAACCGGAATAACATCTCGGCGTCGAATATTTTCAATTTCTACGATTAACCTTGCTTCGTCGCTCCGAAAATACGTGACAATTTTAAACATACCGCCCGCCTCGCATTTGAACGTATGCGAATATGCGAAATATAGCCAACGGTAGTCTTCAACGTACGATGAAGACAATAAATCAATTTTCAATCAACCAAGAAATCAAACAAGAGATCAATGCAATAATTCCTTGCGATCGAATAACGAGGGCAAGTAATCAGAAGGTGAAAAAACCTTTTACAATTTTCGAGTAAATATTTCTAAATTATAAAGACGCTCTCAATTTTCAATAGGCACTGAGCCTTAGCAAATATTCGCCTCTTTCGGCTGTTCGAGCACGCAAATACAATTATACATGTTTCGAAATTCTACCGACAATGCGATGGGTCGAATAACAAAGTCATAAATGCGATACCTGGCTCGAAAACCACGCCGAAGAGGAGAATATTGCCTAACATAGTAGATTTTGACGCTAAATACATAAATCACACCCGAAATTTATCAAATAATTACAATCTAAGTTTAACGCAAGTACAATTTTCAAATATTGCTATTGATTGGCAGCCGGCACAGTAGCGTAATTGGTCGTTTCAGGATCGAGCTCGCAGTTCTCACCGTAACTACTCGCACGAGTCCATCCGAGCCGGGATGAATCTGCGTGACTCGCGCTAGGTTCCACTTGCTCGGAGGGAGCAAGGGATTCTTCAACAAGGCGAGTTCTCCTATGCGAAAACAAGACGTTTTTTCCGACCACTTACGCCGCTGCTGCAGGGAGTGCAAGTAGTCTTGTGACCACGAGCGCCAAATCTGTTCGACTAAAGAATGGACCATCTGCCATCGCGATAGTCGATTCGCATTACTTTCGAGCACTGACTCCTCCGGTATCGCAATTATGGGGCGCCCGATCAGGAAATGACCCGGAGTGAGTGCCGATAGGTCACTCGGATCGTCGCTTAATGCCGCGATCGGACGAGAATTTAAGCACGCCTCGATTTGGCATAATAACGTCGCGAATTCGGCCTGTGACAGAGTTCGCGAACCGGCGACTCGTTTTAAGTGCGACTTGAGACTTTTGATTCCCGCCTCCCATAGCCCACCGAAGTGAGGAGCCGCAGACGGAATGAAGTTCCATTCAATTTTGTCATTTGCAAGGATGTCGTGCAGTGACGAATCCTTCATCAAGGCGCTGAACGCGTCGTTCAATTCCTTGTCAGCCCCGTGGAAGTTCGTTCCATTATCGCTATATAGCTTGGACGGCAAGCCCCTTCGGCTCACAAATCGCCGAAAGGCGGCGAGGAACCCAGCGCTAGAGTAGTCTTCGACTAGCTCTACGTGGATTGCTTTCGTGACGAGGCAGATGAACAAAGCTATATAATTTTTTCTGGTTTTTTGGCCTCTGCCAACGAACGGCGTGACTAAGAAAGGGCCAGCATAATCCACTCCCGTATGAGCAAATGGAGACGACGGATTGACGCGTGGAGACGGGAGGTCTCCCATGAATTGGCTCGAAAGTTTAGCCGAGTGACGTACGCAAGGGATGCATTGTCTTATATATCCCTTGACGGAGTTTCGCCCTCCCATTAACCAATAATTCTGACGAAGGGTGCGCAGCACGATTTGAACTCCACCGTGGAGTGTACTCTTATGAGCTTGAGCGATTAGAAGGTAAGCGAGTTGTCCGCGCGGCACGATTACGGGATGTTGCTCATCGTAGCTAAGAGCGGAGTGTCGCAACCGCCCGCCAAGCCGGAGTACCGAATCTTTTCCTAAGAATGGAGCAAAAGTTCGAAGGGAACTCTTTTTGAAATCGTGGCAGTCTTTTGCAAAGTTTTGAATTCGACCTTGAAAGCTCTCCGCTGGACATAAGACAGCCAGAATTGCTCGGCCCGTTTAAGCTCGTCGACGCTCAGTGTCGAATCTTTTTTAAATTTACGAACCTTTTCCTTCCGCAGTAAGGCGAGAAACCTGTGGACGTAAGCCGTCACTCGGACGAGCTTCGTCCAACTTGAAAATTTGTAAAGTAGATCCCACTCTTCTTCACCTTCAATGTGAAGAACTTTGGTTTTTCGCAGTTCAGCTGAAACTTGCTGTAGTTCATTAGTGGGTCTAGTATTCGTCATATCATGAATCGGCCAAGCCGTTGAAGGTTGCCGAAGCCATGGTGGTCCCGTCCACCATAGCGAATGCGACACTAACTCAGACGCGGATAGCCCGCGCGACGCACAATCCGCCGGGTTCTCTGCCGATGGTACGTGACTCCACCGAGTAGATGGCAAATTGTTCTGTATTTCAGCCACGCGGTTGGCCACGTATGTGTTCCACTTTGATGGGTGCTGGCGCAACCACGCCAGAGCTATCGTGGAATCCGTCCAACAATGGATCGGAGTTCCAACTAACTGCAACGAATTAACAGTCCACTTTACGAGGCGACTCAATAACACTACCGCGTTTAACTCTAGACGCGGGATGCTCACGGTTTTCACGGGCGCGACCTTTGTTTTTGCTGCGATTAAATTTATTGCGAAGTCTGAAAGCGAATGATAGACGCGAAGATATACGACGGCGGCATAAGCTCGATTTGACGCGTCAGCGAAACCGTGTATCTCTAGCGCGAGAGTTTGTGGACCTTGACCAGTCCACCGTGGAATTTTGATCATTTCTAATTTGTGAAATTCTGATACAAAATAATTCCAACGGGACGTTAACTCATCGGAGATGAGAGAGTCCCATTCGCAATGTAACAACCACAGCTCTTGAAGTATTATTTTTGCCACGATCACGACGGGAGCGGCCCATCCGAGAGGGTCGTAAAGCCTCGCGATAAATGAAAGAATTGAGCGTTTGGTAGGAACGCTGGGGGTGGTCGAGTTCACGACCAAGCGAAACACGTCTTCGTTAGGCATCCATGACAGGCCGAGAACTTTAAGTGAATCTTCCGTCAGGATTAGATGATCGGTTACTTCCGATTGGTCAACAGACAAATCCTTGAGAAGTTCGATCGAATTTGATGCCCATTTCCTTAATTGAAATCCCCCCTTTTCCATTAACTGCATCAATTGAACGCGAGTATTTTTTAAAGATTTTATATCATCCGCGCCAAACAGGGCGTCGTCTACATAAATAGACTCTCCTAGGATAGGAACCGCGGCCTTGAACTTTTCTCCCTCGTCAAGGGCGAGCTGTTTCAATACTCGCATTGCGAGATACGGAGCGGGAGCGAGACCGTAAGTGACCGTTAACAAGCGAAAATGTCGAACGGGCGCTTCCGCTTGAGGACGCCAAAGAATTCTTTGGTAGTCTGAATCTTGCTCATGAATTTGAATTTGCCGAAACATCTTGGCGATGTCGGCCGTACAGACGAAGCTCCACCGTCGCCATCGCGATAACACGGCAGGTAGATTGTAACGTCCAGACAAATTTCAAAATTTCAATTTCTTCAATCATTAATTTTTTTAACCTATTAGTCATGACAATCTCTAACTTGCATGAAAGACCGGTATTAACGAATCACAAATATAACCACTCGTAGGCTAAGATATGTCTTCTCAAAACAACATCTATAATACTAACTAAATATGGTATAATATAATATAATATAAATATAATATATTTAGGTTAATAAGAAAAACCCTATTGATTATTTGTGAGAAAACCTAAAATAAGGTTAAGAACATATATATATTTATACATACGGACATATAATATGTATATGTCAAAAGGTTTGTTCCGAGACACTTCCCGACGCTTATTGACATATTGCAGGCTTCCGGACCTGACCTGGAAGAATTATATGTCGAATGGCAGTTTCCGGGACAGTCCTGGAAGACTTATGTATATACATATAGGAATTGCATATTTAAACGTATATACAAGGGAAACAGACACATATATATATATATGTCAATCGTATACTTTGACGACACTATATATATTCTCTGGCGATTTCAATGACTGTATAAGACATATAGTATTCTCTGGCGATCTCAATGACTGTATAAGACATATAGTATTCTCTGGCGATTTCAATGACAGTATAAGACATAATATTCATTTTACTAATATTAAATATGTATTATTCAATAGTATTAAATTTTAAATATGTACACAATATATATATATATATATATTAACACACAAAACTTCTTATACCTGAAAATATTTATATATATATATATATCGCTTATAAAGAAGTATACTAAATAATTAAATGAAAGCTGCTTTACTATGTGAACTCGACTTTACTCGCAAGGAAACATCCAGAAGATTCTAGAAGGCTCTAGAACGATAGCGTGATGCAATGCATGATGCAATGCTGAAACACGTTGCCACCTGCAAATCGATTACCAAGAATAAAGAAGGCCCGTTGCAAGCCGCATAACGATAAGTCAGTAAAGGAGCACCGCTATCGCTACTAAGAATAAAAGACGATTGGAAACCGTTAGCGATGAGTCACCTAGGAACGCCGCTATCGCTACTAAGAAGCCATCTCTCCGGGACTTAACCGTCGCAATCTCTACCTGGAACAGATTATCTCCGGTACTTCCCCGGCACATCTCTCCTACCATTGGCTGAGCCACATCGCCCGATGGGAGGAGCGAGCCCCATTTTTGGGTATATAAACCCGGCTCCCGGCACGGAACGGCAGTGATCCCGCCGCAGTCAAGAAGTAAAGTTATCCAGCAACCAACCAAGCAATTACTACGGAGCTCTGAAGACATCGAGACATAGCCGCCATTTCGGATCGAGGTACCGAGGCTCCTCAGCTCTTCAACTCAGAGGGAAGAACACAGTAGCGAAGTGTACCATAGCAAGGCACATTAGACATTGTCTAACCTTGTGAGTATTTAAGCCAGTTCACATATCCCTAAATAGTAAAGCGCGACGGACACTCATTATATTTAATCATTATATTTAATTAGTTATTTAACCACTGAATTTCGAACTCAATCTTATTTCACATTACGAACTCTGAATTTGCATACAGACATAAGCCATATATTACTCTGATTTACGATTCGTATCTGCATACGCCTGCGTTACAATCGTCTATATATTCAATATTTTACTCGATACTATTTAACTATATCTAACCGATATCGCATGTCCATTTAACTTGTTGTACTTGCAATATAAATATATTATATATGTATTTTATTGTATTACTGCTCACTTATATATGCATGTAATCCCGTATCCTACTACCTATTAGCGAATTGAATAACGCTAATTCCTCAGTACACATTAGAATATTATATCCTGTCAGAAGGTAAATTCGCAAATCATCTCAGAGGTGCACGTTCAGTAAAGTGAACGTAGCATTAGCCTAATAAGACCAGGACCTGAGAACCCGGAATAACCGGATGTATACCTACCTCTCTATTCTTTTATGCTTTTAATACCTTGCACTTTCCAATAATTGCGAATTACTTTACCACACCGACTGACAGTGATCTTGCATATTGATATTTAAATTTATTTGACAAGTGTACTCCACCTTACCCTATTTGCTACTATTAAAACCATACCCTGTCATAAGGTAAATTCGTTACTACGATTCTGAGATGCACGTTCTGTAAAGTGAACGTCGCATTAACCTTCGGGGACCGGAATCCACGGGCAACCGTACATTTCTTCACCCTTCCCTGCTTACTCTCTCTCTGCTTTACAAACCTAACGAATTACTTTACCAAACCAAATGACAGTGGTCTTAATGATTATTAAAAATAATTAATTCATAATTTACAATTCAATTATTGATGCTTGAAGCTACACGTATTAATACTCTTAATATAGATATTAATACTTATATTCAAACCTCTATTCCTAACTCCTCTATACCCATTAGAGTTATATCCTGTCAGAAGGTAAATTCGCAAATCATCTCAGAGATGCACGTTCAGTAAAGTGAACGTCGCACTAGCCTATTAAGACCAGGACCTGAGAACCCGGAATAACCGGATGTACACCTATCTCTCTATTCTTTCATGCTTTTAATACCCTGCATTTTCCAATAATTGCGAATTACTTTACCATACCAACTGACAGTGATTTTGATATTCATTGACAATTTGTTACTTCAAAGTCTAAGACTTATTTATTCATTAAGAATTACTATTTCAAAGTTTAAGATTTAATTATTAACGATTGAAACATCAAGTATTAATATTCTCAACGCAGATATTAATACTCCTATCCAAATCCCTCCTTTTATCCACGTTATTACCAATCCTCATTTAATACAGGTTTATTATAATAATTACTGACATAAAGTTAATTTATTAACAGGTGAAGGGCTTTCTCGCATAAGATTAACCTTTCATCTCTGTTCGCTCTCATTAACAAGTAAATCACGCTACAAACGTGAGTCATATTCAATTATTTCAAATAACAAAACAATCTATCTTTCGATTTATTCATGTAAATTTATTTAACCGTTAGATGGTCTCTCCTTTCCGACGAAGGAATCAGATCGATCGAAACAAGCGGCACCTTCACAGGCTACGCGAACGTAGATCTCGAAGACCTCTAAATCTAAACGTTCAAATTTATCCAACGCGAATAATCATACAACCTCCCTCTTC